AACGTTTTTTTCATGTGATAATAATAATTATATTTTAATTCCCATAAAATCACACTTTATAACATGACAGTAGACTTTCATTTTCATAGTAGGTTTGAATAGGAAAAAACCCTAAAGAACCTTTTTATGGTAAGCAAAGGAAGCGTTCCAAAATTTCGTCCTATTCATAGTACCGCATTGAATTGAAGCACTTTGTGTAATTTCTTACAACCATTATGGGACTTGAATTACAGACGCTTTTAAATTAAAGAAAACCCAAAAGAAAATGCATGAAACTGACACTTTTGCAAATGAAACAAGAAACGTGTTCATTTTTCCTCCGACACAATTTTCACAATGGAGAGAAATAAAATCAAAGAAAGTTTTCAGAGTCGACTCGGTCATTCGTTTCTGGTATTTTTCTAGCCAGCCGGCAGATGGAGACTGGACTATTAGTTCTAGCTTTTTAATGGGACCTTGGATTAAATTCTGTATTTGATGCGAATAAAATGTCTGCAAAGATTAAAATGTGAAAAAATAAAGAGTACTGGAAAACTGTCACAAATGTATTTAGGTAGGTACCTAGATAATATCGGAGTCCAGATAGAGTTCAAGTCGATCAAGCAAGACAGAACCAGTGAAGCTTAATTTAAACTGTGCTCTAAATAATATAACTGACATTAAAGACAGATTTGATGTTGCATCAGTACCTACGTCCAAGATATTATACAGGCAGTGTAAATGTCAAATTCATCCAATGAAAAACAACAAAAACCAACTTATTATTAACCCCTCATTATTTTTTTAACCCTTGTTGAAATTCGCAGGCATATTTAGATGATCAAACGAACTTACCAAGTGAAGTTCGATCTGAATTATCCTGTTTTCGCCGAAGAGATTTATGGAATTTATCACTGTGCGAAACTAAATGACATTGACATTTGAACTTCAAGGTTATGGCTAATATTCTTTTTTTGTGGTTGAATCGGCCAATACCAGGTTTAAAGAAAAAACACATATCAAAGAGTATTTATTATCATAAAAATCGCGAAACGCACTGATTTCCATTTATTTATGGATCGATGACAACCTTGTGACAACCCAGCTTTTGGCGTTGATCGCATAGTGAACTACTAAAGATGGCGACAGCGGTTTGTTTGTCAATGCCATCGGAATTTAACGAAATTCTCCATTATCCGAATTTTGCGGATATATGTTGTCGACTCAAAATCGTTATTTTTTTATGCTTTGTTATTCATATAAGGTTTCGATCCAGTCTACCGTACCCCTTGACGAAATTATTAATATAGAAATACGTAAGTAACACGATCAGTCTGTTTGACTACCATGTCATACATGCATGCATGGACAAACTTGGCCTACACTGGTTGGGTTTTATTGGCGGTCAAGCTGTAGATCCTGGCTACACAGGAGTTGCAGCGATAGGAACGTGAGGTGGGATTAGTCCCNTTGACTGGATTATTGGATCATCATCATCATCATCAATTCAGCCATAGGAAGTCCACTGCTGAACATAGGCCTCCCCCAATGATTTCCATGATTATCTGCTATACCTATTATTTGATGATAATTAGGTACCTCTAAGCACAGAATAAATCAATTTGATAATCGAAAAGAAAGGTCGTGATTTTGAAGTCCTACTATTTTGAAGAGTTAACTTCAAGATTAATTATGTCTTCTGTCGTTTTGTTTTTTATACTCAACATCAAATAAATCGCACCTTCCGCGACGCGAACTTTAAAGATTTTCTCCTGACACAACCATGGTGCCCCAACAATATTGGTGTTATTTGAAAGCCCAATAAATATCCTTAAAGAAAAACACATTCAATTTCATAATAAATGATTAACATATACCATAAATGTGACTTGAAAAAAGACCTCACTTTGGGCTCACCTCTGGGATCAATTAGACCAGTTTTTTTTGTTATAAAACCAAATAATGATCTCACATGTCCTCTTTAACAGATGGATAGCGATTAATCCCTACTTAACAGTTTTATAGCGATAAAAGTTGTCTCAAGCGTAACTACCTATTTTTTAAAGAAGTGACTCTGGATCCTTCTAAAGACACATTTTTGGGGTAAAAACTTTTCCTATAATGAAATCAAGTTTAGAACTAGGCTTTTAAATAATGCCAATATTGGAGAGAAGTGGGGATGCATACGTTTAATAGTGCTTGTCGCGGGAGGTGCGATTTATTTGACGACGAGTGTATTTCACCTGCATAACGAAACAAAGAACTCTGTTTATTTGCAAACAACGGGGAGAAAGACGAAATGTTTTTTGACATTCCACAATCACAAACACAATGTGTCTATGACCTTACATAAACTAAATCAAATAAGGAAGGTTATTTTTATACATGGAAAGTAACTTGTGAAATGATGTAATACTAATAAAAATACGAAATTATAACGACCTGTCTGTTTGACTACCATGTCATACATGCATGCATGGACAAACTTGGCCTTCACTGGTTGGGTTTTATTGGCGGTCAAGCTGTAGATCCTGGCTACACAGGAGTTGCAGCGGTGGGAACAAGAGGTGGGATTAGTCCCATAACATGTCATGAATCTTCCATTTCTTTGAATTGGTTGAGATAGACTCAACTTTCAATTTCTATAATTATCATCATATTTTCAGCCATGGGGACCTCCCATGGATGGGGACCTCTATGATGATGACTGCTGAACATAGGCCTCCCCCAATGATTTTCATATTGACCGGTTGGTAGCGGCCTGCATCCAGCGCCTTCCTTTATGAGGTTTTCACTCACTCTTGTGGGTTCAATTTCTATATTAATCGTAAAAAGACAAATAAAATTAGGTATTAGAGAACACATTTACAATAAATTTAACTTTAAAAGTCACTTTGTTTTTGTTTGATTGTTTTTTGATAATTTGGTACTAAATTAGAAATTGCGAATGAAAGATGTTAAAAATAAAACAGAGCATAGTAATTATGTTTCAGTATGTTTGTGTATTGATTTTTTTTCTGGGTTTTGTTCATTTCATTTCAGCCACAGGACGTCCTCTGCTGAACATCGTTCGTTTCAGCCAAATGACGTCCACTGCTGGACAAAGGCCTCCACCAAGGATTATCTTAATGAACGTTCCTGCGCTGCCCGCATCCTTCACCAGATTGTCGGTCCACCTAGTGGGAAGCCTGCCTACGCTACGTCTTCCGGCCCATGGTCGCCACTCGAGAACTTTTGCCTCTGTAGTTACTGAACGAATAATTTCAACATTGCCCGGTTGGTAGCGGCCTGCTTTTATTAAACCTAACTTACTAACTAAAAAAAAATTATAACCTTGAAACAGAAACCCTGTTGTGGATACAAAGTACCTAAGCCTTAACGAACATCAATACAATAAAACATTGTTCTCAAATGTTAGTATACGATTAATAGTACCTACTTATCTAATTAATAGTTCTTGTGTAATTAATTAAACATAATGTAAAATGAATGTTATCTACGCAATTATTCCATTTATAAATTACAATAGTGTCAGATACAGTCTAATTTTGTAGCGTCAATCAAAATTAGTACATCTACGAGTATTTACTTGTAAAAAATAAATTAAGTTATTACAAATTTTCAAGATACTCCATCTGTTTTAGATACTAGGTATATATTTTTAGGTACGAGCAAGGTGGACCTATAAAGCAGGAAGACGCTAGATGCAGGCCGCTACCAACCGTGTGATGTGGAAGTCATTGCGGCCTATGTTCAGCAATCGCGTGGACGTCCTGTGGCTGAAATGATGATGATGAGCAAAAGTGTTAGGCTGCATCATCTACGCGTGGTTTATTAATATACTTACAACGAAGAAGCCCTTGGCCTGCATATCAGCAGATGGAAATTGATAATCAGGCCGAAGGTGGAGCTTCTATCTTCAGCCCAAGTGCCCATCTTCACACCAGTCTCCAACGCTCTTGGCATCATCATCATCATCATTTCAGCCATAGGATGTCTACTGCTGAACATAGGCCTCCCCTAATACTTTCCACGTTGATCGATTGGTAGCGGCCTGCGTCCAGCGCTTCCCTGCTACCTTTACGATGTCGTCGATCGACGCTCTTGGCATGCTCTCCATGTTTTTCATATTTACAGCAATAAGCCTCTTTGGAGTTGTTGTCACCCTGGTACTTATAGGTACCAGAAGATAAAGGTAAGTGTGTCGAAGAAATCGACAAGATTTTGGTGGGGAAACAGGTTATTAAACGCCATAAAAGTGTTTTATTTCTACGTAATCTTACCAACAAAGCAATCTACCTCAAACTGTAAAATTTCTTCAAGAGACTGAATTTGAAGTTTAAAAAACGAGTAGACCTTAAGTCCCTAACGTTAGCGAAATTGTACATAAAATTAATGTAAGTTGATAAATGATGCCCACAGTAGGACCATTATCATGGTTTCTACCAAANCAATTAGATACAGAATCGATCTCATCAACTCATACATACTACTTACTCGTAGTTAAATACCTAATGATTTATTTATTTTATGTAATTCTAGCTACATTACTTACTTTTTGTATTACTTTGTATATTTTTGAGAACTCAGTGAAAAAGTTAAGTCACTACTAATGATACAAAAGTAATGTCTTGTAAAAAAATAGAAACATTTGATAAATAAAAAACTTAGCACAGCTTACTCGTACTTTGTCTTTTAACTAACCTGCCACTCTAGTACCAGTTATTTCTCTGGGTATACACTTGTTGCTCAAAAATTTTTTTCAGGCGTGATAACGTAAGAAAGTGTATATGTTACGGTTAATGTGATAAATTGAAAATTATTAATAATAACCGGTTATTATGAATAATTACCGACAGTCGCGGTAAAAGTGATAAATTAATCACATTTAACAGTGATTATTTAATAATTCAACCTTAGTACTAACAAATTTCTTAAAAGAGAACAACATGTTGTGTACGTGCTCGTGTACAGCCAAACTTTTGAACGTTTTGATATCATATATTAATATAATTTGGCTAATGAGTTCGGACTGTTTCNCATTTTTGAATATTTGTAAGTATTTATTTGTTCTATTTAGAAAACCAAGAGTGCACAATCAAACTTTTGTCCTCATATTAGTAAAAGTATTAAAAGTTCTTAAAAACAGGAGGTTTTTGCTATTATCTGTTCTGCAGTTGTTCCAAAGGAGTTAAAATATCATTAAAATACCAAGGTTTTGCTGACGACACCATTTATTTCTTAATATGACCCTTGTGACCTTTATCAGTTGTCGATTTGCTTCCATTAGTAATAGGTATTATAAAATTATAAATAGCAGAATATTACAAAACATGATTGTGTCTTCATTTTCCAGTCAAGAACAAGGCATGGCGGCGCGGCTTCTTCCTCGTCATGGCTTTAATATCAGCTCAGTCATTCAACGGCAACTTCACCATCCTGACGTACGCGTGGACCATTATGTCAGAGTCAGGAGTGACAGCCAACCCAGAGCTGACGTCACTGGTCGTGCCCATGCTGATGATTTGCGGATCCACGGTGTCAATGATGTGTGTGGAGAGGTTTGGGAGAAAGGTAGGCATTCTTTTTTATATCATCATCAGATGATTTAGACTTAAACTCAGGATAACGACCCGATCCTAAGAACAGAGGCAAAGAAGGCTACTTCCCATGTTATACATGGGATTATTGAAATAGTGGGTTAGCGCTCACCGTCTGTTGCTATTCACAATGCAAGAAAATTGTCTTTGTGCTGCCGGATTTTTTATGAACTCGCGGAATTTGGGTAGGTTTTCTTTAATAACTACCCCAATATTATATTTGGTATGAAAACGCCGATGAAAGTCCACAACAGGGCACGTCATTTTTAGTGAATCGTAGTAATAGTACCGTAGTGATCATCTGCTATCAAAATGATGACACTTTTTGCTAATGCCAAACTTATTTGCAAAGTGCATATTTATTACTCATATTAGGTACGTGCGAAGTTTGTTCAAGCTAAATAATTCGAATCCTCGTTCCAATTTACAGAAGCTCCTGACCATCACCTACTCTGTAACCGTGGTCGCAATGATCACCCTTGCNAATTCTATGATCGAAGTATTATTTAAAAAGGGACATAAAGAGAAAGAAATATTGTGCGGTGTTCGGGTGTTTGAATTCGAAAAGAAATCTACCGGATTTATCTTTTTTTTTCGCTTCCCAAAGATGCTGAAAGGTATGTTGGCCATGTAGGTAATCAATAATTCTTAGGATAGTATAGGAACCTAACCTACTATGACTACTGCTCAGAATGCGTTCGTTAGTTTCAGCCAAATGACGTCCACTGCTGGACAAAGGCCTCTCCCAAGGTTTTCCATAATGAATGCATACTTACCTACATACGTACCTCATTACAAATAAGTAGATTAATATTTTTCGACAACGCCACTCTTGTGGCGGAGTTTTGGGCTGACACTGTGTAGGTTTGTTGTCGACACGAAAAGAAGAAAAGAAGAAGAATTATTTTTTCACTAGACAGCAACCCTAACAGCGTAAGAAGAGTTCAGAGGCACGCGATAGAAAGAGACAAAACTTGTAGGTGAATAAAATTGTAGGTACGTAGTGCTGTGCGAGCTGAATTCCACTGTATCGCGTCGTAGCAAAACTCGCATTTATTTAAATCGTCTTGCGGAGTAATCCTTCTGTACCTGTACTATTACTTATTCTGTGCCATTATGTAAAAACAACGAACCTAAACACGGTAATACTACCACTCCATTACGCAACTTGCGGGCAGAGGAGGCTAGCGATGAATTTGTTACACTGCGCCGTGGTTCTAGCAGACAAGGAAATGCAGAAAAATCACCAACACCAATAGATATGGGAGAAATAAAAACAGATACTCAACTGATTTTAGAAGAGCTGCGAGCGCTTCGCGCTGAGATGTCTGACTTCAGGAGCACAATACAACAACTAACAGCTGAAATCAACCATAATAAGCAGTGTATAGAAGGCCTGACATCGCGCGTCGAGACCCTGGAGCAGCGTCAGAACAAAATAATCCCCATCACCGAGACACCCAACCTACAAGAAACTATTTCGGAATTGAAGCAAAACCTTAACGACAGAGATCAAGAGCTCTTGCAGAATGACATTGAAATAGCCGGGATACCAGAGGAAAAGAATGAAAATGCTGCTCATATCATGTTGACGGTGGCCAATAAACTCGGAGTGTCTATCGATGAACGTGACATAGTGAATGCTGAGCGAGGGGGACCATTACGAGCCGGGTCATCACATGAAACACCTGATGCGCGCCCTAGGGTGCTCATCATCCGTCTGACCCGCCGCGCCCTGCGAGGGCAGCTGTTAGCAGCGGCCCGTGTCCGCCGGTCTCTGCAAACTGATGGCCTGGGGCTGTCTGGTTCACCAAAAAACTTTTACATCAATGAGCGACTAACAAAGCAAAATCGTCATCTGTTTTATAACGCCAGAGAAGCTGCCCGTCGTGAAAAATGGCATTACGTCTGGACACGGGATGGCAGAATCTATGCTCGACGAGAACAGGGAGCTCCCCGTCATCGCATCAAATCGGAAGCGGATATCAACAGGGTTTTTGGATGTGGTGGTGTTCGCACGTGATGGTGATGTTGACATTTGTGAAACACTTAACATTATAATATTAGTCAATTTAAGAAATGTACCTTATGAGTTACTGTTTTTGTTTTTAAACGTTACTTGCTTGGATTTGTTTTTAGGTAGACTGTGCCCATGTGTGTGTGTTTTTTCAATACATTTATTTCACATTTTCTTTTACAAAACAGAGAAACTCTTTATTAATATTATGAAAAATGGCTAACTCAAAGTTTAAAAGTTTGAGAATAGGGCTATTGAATGCTAGATCTCTCAACACAGGTGAGGATGAACTTTTAATTTCAATGGCAAATTTCAAACCCGACATCTTAGCAATTAATGAAACATGGATTGAGCACGGTCAACNAATTTGTATTAATACGTGGCTTTCCCTGCGGCCGACGTTGATTGGCGTCCGTGAGTTCCGACATCTCCCGGGCTACCCGGTTTGGTGAAAATACCTTCAAATAAATCATTTATATCAGTCATACCTACCTACTTATATCCATATACAGGGTGGGCCAAAAATGTTTGCAAAATAGCAACTCTTGATTTCTCGAAATCGGCTCGAGGTATGGACTCATGAGGGATGGGAATGAGTACAATTAATACAATTGAAAAATAGGCCAACAGTTAGGGTGGGTTGCATGCACCATGTTACTTTAACTTTGACAAACGTCAAAAATCTGTCAAATTCCATACAAAATACACCGGTTATCGTTATAGTTACGGCCAAAGTTAGGTGGTGCACCTCAGCATTAGACTAACATTTAATTTTTACTAGGCAATCCCACTGCTTCATAAAGGGACAGACTAAGTATTCTACCCTCTAAAACAGTAGAAAAACGTATGTACATACGTAGTATGAAAAATGTAATATGAAACCCATTTAAAATCAAAATCCACGAGAGAAAACCCGCGGGCAGAAGCATTTTCATCAATATATATCTTTGTTTTAACTGAGAAGACTGCTTAATATCCTGTACATCATTACTTGATAACAGAAAGTTTTATTAAGATAAAAAAAAAGTTTTATTAAGATAAAAAAATCCACTGATATAAATATTTATTTCACAAAGGTCTTCTATACAGGCTTACCTAACTTTTGGAATAAGATACGGATGGATTCGAAGTTTGTATGATTAGCTGGGGCTTGTGGAACAAAAATAATATTTGAATTTATTTATTCATCACGTAGCGTAGCCATATTGTACACTTGTACAGACGACAAGAAAGAAATCAATATATTGACTGTGGCTTCGCAATACATATTTGATAACATTATGTATGTCCGTAAACATATACATTTATTTACTAAGAAAAGTGACGTCCACTCATTTAACACGAGACGTAAGAATAAACTTGCTGTTCCATCATTTAGGTTGCATAAGATAGGTAATTCNCGGTCAACAATCCCTGGCACCAGTCGTCCCCCACTACAATTTTCTACATAAAGCACGAAAGAATAAGCGAGGAGGTGGAGTTGGCTTTTACGTGAGAAAGGACATCAATACTCGTGTCCGTCGCCACCCATCTTCTGGTTTGGAACAGCTTTGGATTGAATTGCAACTTCCTGGAGGTAAAATGGCGCTAGGAACAGCATATAGACCAGAAAGCGTTTCACCACAGATAGCCTGGGACGCATTAAGCGAGTCTATTAACCAGTTTGCTAACTGTGGCTACTTATGCTTACTCAGCGACCTTAACATTGACCTGTTACGTGAGAACTCACCTCGCGCCAAAGAACTCCTCGATTTTTGTCGCCAACACAATTTAAAACAATTAGTCACAGAAGCGACAAGAATAACTGATCAATCAGAGACATTACTGGATGTGGTTATCACAAATGACACTCTTTGTAGCAGGGAAGTAATAGTGGTTCATAATCGAAGCTTAAGTGACCATGGTATGGTTTTGGTAGATTTTAATGTAAGGAAGCCCAAATTTATCAAACAAATTAAATACACAAGAAATATTTACGACATCAATATATCGCTTTTCGAGGAAGATCTGAAGTCGATGGCATGGAGATCAATAATGGAAAATGCAAACGTGAATGTAATGGTTAAATCTCTTAATAAGCTTATCATAGACTTGTTTGATAGACACGCGCCAATAAAACGGAAAATTCTTAAATCGCCGCCGAAACCATGGATTACAGACACAATAAAACTAATGATGGAACTACGGAACAAGGCATTACAAAGATCACAAATAAAAAAAACTGAAAGCTCTAAAGAATATTATCGCAGTCTCAAAAATTTTGTCACAGCCTCTATAGAACGAGAGAAAAAAGCATACTACAACAATGTTTTGAATAAAAACTTGGATAAACCTAAAGAACTATGGAGTAATATTAGGAAAACATCTATTTATGAAACCACTAACGCAGATATCATCCCAGAACATATAAATGATCCTAACATGATCAATGAACATTTCTTGCAATTGCCGGAAAAGAATACTCACTCGGAAAAAGTAAATGTGACAATAAGAAGTGCAAGGCTTACCGGTGAGAAATTTAGACTACGCCCTGCAACTGAAGAGGAGGTAAGGAAGATCATAGACAACATAAAGACTAATGCTTCAGGACACGATACTATAAATATAGATATGGTCAAGCTTACCTTGGATTACACACTACCAATTATAGTCACAATTATAAATAAGTCGATTGAGTCGAATACGTTCCCTTCTCTCTGGAAAAAAGCACTAGTCAGACCAATCCCGAAAAAAAGTTCTGTGGAGCGCCTACAAGACCTACGACCGGTGTCGATCTTGCCGGTAGTCTCCAAGGTGCTGGAAAGGGTTGTGCTGAAACAAGTTGAGGGATATATACAGGAAAAGAAGATAATACCAAAATACAGGGATCTCGGGGTTATTCTGGACAGTAAGTTAACATTTACCAAGCACTATGACCATATAGTATCTAAAGCTAATAAAATAATGGGATTTATTTTTAGGACCATTAAACCTTTTAGACAGTCAACAAGCATACTAACACTATTCTACGCCTTGGTCAGAAGTGTNAAATACCAGTCCGGCTTCCGTAGAGGACACGGCACAGAGACGGCATTGCTGCACGTAACAGATGATCTCACTGAGGCCTCGGATAATGGAATGAGTAGCATTATAGTGCTCCTGGATTACTCGCGCGCCTTTGATTGTTTGGATCCAGAACTGTTACTGTCCAAATTGTCACATTATGGTTTCTCGGATGACGTTTGTTTATGGTTCAAGTCTTATTTAACAGATAGAGAGCAGATTGTGGTTTCAGATTGCGCGGACGGTCTAAAGAGATACTCAAAAGTTGGGAAACTCACTAGAGGCGTGCCTCAGGGTTCCATCCTGAGTCCAATAATATTTTCTATATTTACAGCAGATCTACCCATGCACATTGAACACTGTAAATATCATTTATACGCGGACGACACGCAGATTTATTACTCATTTAGTGGTAATAATGTTGACGAGTCTATTAAAAAAGTCAATCAAGATCTACAAAATATTTTATGTTGGTCACGGAAAAACTCACTGCTGTTGAACCCGGATAAATCTAAAATGGTAGTAACTGGGACAAAAAACCAAATCCATAAGGTAATGAATAGTACTGAGTCAGTCAAGATCGATGGTAGATCTATCGAAACGGTGCCATATGCGCGAAATTTAGGACTAATTCTGGACGGGGAACAAAAGTATGAGAACCATATAAATGAAAAAATCAGGAACGCATTTTTTAAACTGAAGCTGCTTTACAAATTGAGGCCATATATAGGAGAACACCTCCGAGTACGGTTAGTTAATGCACTGGTATTATCGCCATTCGATTATTGTGACTCAGTATACGGACCAAGACTAAATGCTAATACGGCAAGAGCTATCCAGCGAGTCCAGAACTCTTGCATGAGGTTCTGTTTCAGAATACCAAGGCGAGACTTTGTAACGCCTTATATGAACAAGGGGGGAATTTTAAACATGAGTG